TAGTTGAAAAATCAAATTCCTGCTCCTCTGACTCATTCTCTACACCTGCTATGGAATTATTTTACTGAATGTTGTTACTTGTGGTTTTTTGAACTGGAGTTTCCTCCACAGCTACCAATTGGTAACCTTCATTTATCTCACCATTTTCAATTTCTAGCACTGCAAATTGGTTGGTTGTTTGTATTTGTTTTGTCACAGTTGTATTGTTAACAAGAACTATTTCTTTCCCTTATGCAGTAGTACCTTCAGATTGTTTGCCTTTGTTTAGTCCCCTATTGTCTCGAACTTCCTTCCATCGAGGGCCTGCATTACCAACTACCTTACCACTAGTAAGGATCATCAAAGGAGCATCATGTTTTGCCGGTTTCTTAGTGCCTTGTTTCACATTTTCGGCATTTTCCTGCTGCTGGACATTTTTGCTTTCCCTTAAATCAGGATTAATTCTCAAACATTCAAGCATGCCATGGCCTTGTAACTTGCACTCTTTACAGTACTTTGGCAAATAATCATAGTTAATGGTTACCCATTCAGTTCTAACATCCCCATTTACTTCATTGACAATGTCCATCCGAACTTTCTTGGGGAGGTCAGCTAGCAGATCCACCAACACTTTAACACGAGCACAACTAGGTCTAGTTTTCTTGACAGTAGCCAAATCCAAGTGAGGGGGTTTACCTACAGTAGAAGCTAGAGAGAACAAGCATTCTCTGACAAAATATGTAGGCTGCAAATTAGGGAATGAAATCCAAGCCATTACCTTAGGTGTCTCCTCTCCAACTTTAAATTTTGCATCATAGATCAAAGTTCTTAGTTGATATTCATCCCCATGCTTATCCTTAACATAGTACACACCTTTTGACGAGAAATCTACGTAATCTTGCCATAATGAAAATCGAATCAAAATGTGCCTGTCACGAAGATATCCAATGTTGCAATAAGCTTTGATACCACACTACATAGGAACAATTCGACGTATTTCATTGATGTCTGGCCATCCATATGAAATTTGCACACAACTGCCTGTTGCAGTCCTTCAATATAGTTCATACGTTCAACTTCTGATTATGCAAAGCATACCGTTGGTTGTCCTTGAAAGAATTGGGCTTGTCTAGGGGGGATTGGATCAACTACCGCTGCTCGATCTTGCATTGTCGAAGTACTGGTCGTGGGTTTTACAACGTTTGCATAATCCATAGATTTTGGAACATTTATTGTTGTCGTGCAAGGCTAGGTGATGTTAAGGGAGGCTGGGGAGGTGTCCCAGTGTTTGCGGGTAGCTGGCCACTGGCCATAGTGGCCATGGCAGCACTTCGTGAAGGGTCTTCTAACTGTAAAGTGTTTTTTCAAAAAGCTTGAGACAACATAGATCAACCTAGATTTTCGCGTCAACACTCTCTTGCACCAATGAAAACTCTTTTCCACGTTAATACTTATGACAAGAAAAGCACAGTTTTTGCTAATTCGATGCTATAGTAACTCTTCAAAGCAAAATAAGATCTGTTTTTAATCTGTTGTTGCTTTTAACTTCAAAACTGAGAATCACGCTTAAAAACAAACCATCCAAGTTGTTCTTCAACCATCCAAGCTTCACATTACATAAGCAGTAGCTATCACTGCCAGCACTGTTGAAATTGGCTAATGGGAGCTCGTTGCTACAGTAACTCTTAATAGTAAAATTAAGATCTGTTTTGACTGGTGATAGATTTTAGGAAAAAATCAAAAGGAGATTGTTCACAATGAGAAGTGTGTTCTTTTGGTACCAATATTGTGATATTACCTTGCCGGATTCCGGAATTATGGCCGATGAATGTCAACATCCAATTCATTATTTAATTGATTAAAACTATTTTTACTAATAAAATTGACATTATCCATAGTGGTTTGTGTCAAAACCATGTGTCTCTCTTCTAAAAGGTGGTTTTTCATGTAAGAGGTAGTTTGATCAATAGTCGATTCTGGATGGGTAATGACAGGAAGAATTTGATTATTAGAAGGATTATTTTTTGTTTTATATTGGAGTGTTTGAGTAAACAAGAACTTACCTGTTTTTGCATTGAATAAATTAACCGGAATACCTGGACCTTGGTTGCCTTTTGCATGGATGATGGGCATTTGGTTTGGAGTATTTTTGCCTTGATTCTTCTTCTTATTGAAGGAGACTGTTTTCCATTCAGAGTCACAAGCATCTTGTGTAGCTAATTGTTGATGTTCTTGTCCTGTATGGTGAGGATCCAAGCTTTGCATTTTGATATAGGTGCATTGTCATAGTGTGTGACCAAAACATCCACAATTTTTGCAAAGAAAATCCTCCCCTTGATAGAGTATATCCTGTTTGTGGTCTCCAACAAATAGGAAGGATTGAACTGGAATTTTTAAAGGGATTTCGACACAAATCCTTGCATAACGACCTCTTAGGGTTGTTGAGGTGCATGTGTCAATTTTCAGTAGACGTCCTATTGCATTACCAATTTTTGCTAGGATTTTACCATCGTAGAATTCAGTTGGTAATTGGGACAGCCTTACCCAAACTGCTGAGGTAGTTAATTTTTCATTTCTAGCCACAAAATTTGGTTTCCATTTGGAGATAGATAGGAAATGACCATTGATGAACCATGGACCTAGGTAAATAGCTTTATCCATGTTTTCTTTCTTTGTGAATTTGATAATGTAATAGTCCTCACCAACATCAATTAAAGGGAAGTCCTCCGTTGGTTTCCATAGATCTTGGATCTTCCTCTTTAGGTAATGGTATAGCATACGTTTCCCTACTAACTTGATTATAATAGAGTATTTTCATGGCTCATAGATATGTTGTCTTTCTTGCAATGAAAGAGAGATTTGTATAGCTTCACCTAGAGTAGTCCCTGGATCATGCACTACTTTTGTGTCTTCCACTTCCTTTGTTGGTTCAAGCATATCATCATGATCTATGGAAGGAGTGAAAATTGTTAGGTTAGATTTCAATAGTTTATCCTTAAAGGATATTGGTCTTTCTAAATTGTTTGGTAATGGAGGGTGTTGGATTAAATCTGATGGTTTTGGGGGAATAGTCTCTTGTTTCTCAAGGGGTTGGGCATGTATTCTAGAGAGAAATTGGAGTTTCTCACTCTATTATTAAAAGTTATCAATACCTTAGAAGTAAAATAATTTTTTCTTCTACTTTCTATGTGGAACAAAGTTCCATGCCTAACAAAAATTATCGAAGAAAAGTGGTAAAAAGCAAAGAGGTTGGAAAGCTAAGAAAAGGACAAAAAAGTACAGCTGGAGAGCACTACGGCGAATGCATAAATTAAGAGAAAGACACATCTAAACTAATAATCTAGTGAATTTCTACGGAGGGAATATATGAGTTCGGAACCAAAATATGGTTCTTTTGAACTCAAACTATACAAATAGGTGGTAAAAAAATTATATTTTTATATATAGCGCCATAATAACTGGCGCTATACAATAACAGTAACGGCACCGTTAAATTGCCACTTACAATAGAGTACGATAAATTGATATTGTTGTTATGCAAAAAACTGAGTGTGAGGAAACGTTCAGTGATACTTAAAGTAACCGAAAGATATCCGTATTCCGTCACTCCACAAGGGGTTGCTTTTACTCGGAGTTTAACATCGACGATGATGAAACTTTGAGTGATTTTCTGAGGACTCCGGACGAATGCCGGGAATTTCTTGTAATCACAATGTTGGAGATGTACGTGAAGGTCGAAGACATTCCAAAAAATGAGGTCGTGCGTAGCAGAGATAACCCCCAGTCATCGGGTGGTTATTCTGGAGCAATTTTTTCTGGACAGGTTCCGGATGAAAGAGTTTTCCTTGATTTAAACTTATCACCGCCGGCGAATGAGC